TTACATGAATTTTTGATGTTCGATATGTTTTCCACGTGATGTTTGAAACTTTTTTAGGTGGCGATTTTACCCCGGTCGAATGCAAATCAGGTGTAATCAAAACAACAATCGCTTTTTTTCGAAAAGTCACATTTATTTCAAAATTCGACTAAGAAATCACCTTTTGGGCACTAACAAAAAAAATTCCTTGCAAAATTTTAGTAAGGTCGTCCACTAACGCTAACCCCAAGTCCTAACTTAGGTGTCACATTTTAAATCCAAAGTGATATGTAAATTGGTGCGAATAATCCCAGCCAATAGAAACATTGGGGGTAAATTAGTAAATGCGCGCAGCGTGTAAATTCAATTGTATAAAATTGACCAATCACGGAATAGCATATATAACAGTATCTGTTTTCCTAGTTATGAAAAAGAATACGCGATTTAAATGGAACTTCGTGACCTATCATTTCGTCCCAGAATAATTGACGCCCTAGATCGTTGTACTTGTTATTTTTTTTTTTTAATACCTTTGCTTTTTCTTTATGCTGCAATTTGTTGATATTCTACCATTTATTTAGCGACTTTCGAAACTATTGTTGATGTATTATCCCGCGACGAGGAGCAACTTTGCAGGATGTTGAAAATATCTGCAAAAGACGCTGCTGAACTGGTACAAACCTGTGTCCAGGTGATAACCTGTTCTTTATACCCACCTAAAACCGCGCTGCAACTATTGAACGATGCTGCTCATTGCATGTTGAGTACAGGTGATACTGAAATTGATAAAATTCTTGGCGGCGGTATCTTGTCGCATGGGATCACCGAGATAGTAGGCGAGAGGTAATCATATATCGTTAAGATGTCATGAAAAAAATTGTCTTTTTTTTTTTATTTTATCATGTATATTTATTGATTTATTTTTTTTGTGTATGTAGCGGAACAGGCAAAACGCAATTATGTCTACAATTTTGTTTAATAGTTCAGTTGCCAAAGGAATTGGGTGGGTTGGGCGGAGGTTGGTCGATTGCATTATACATGTTACACGATTCATTTTAAAAAATAATAATACACCTCTTATGTTTAACAATATACTTCTTGGTAATTCACATAGGAGCAGTATACATCTCCACAAACGGCATGTTTCAATCGAAGCGATTTAATCAATTAACAAATTCAGTTCGACAGCACCATTCCTGTCTGAGAAATAAAGATCTAACCGATAATGTTCATTGTGTGACGGTGTACAATTTTGAAGCACTACGAAACATCATTCATTGCCAACTACCTGTTCTACTCTCGCGCAACAATAATATACGATTGGTAATAATTGACGCCATAACTGCTATTCTTCAAGATGCTTTTAAAGATTTTCGGAAGCGCGCTACAGAAATCTTCAGTCTGGGCGCTAAACTTAAAGAAATAAGTGACAAGTTTAATACAGCCATTATATGCATAAATCAAGTCGCCTCGGACGTTTTTTCCAAAGAGGGTGTTTATGATGCCCTTGATTTTAGTGATAAAGAATGTTGGAATTATGCACAATATTATAAGCAAATGATGTTACTTGGAGATGGAAATAGAGTACCTGCTTTAGGTTTATCGTGGTCTAGCGTAATTAACACAAGAATATCGTTATCTAGACCTCTTAGAACATTAAAAGAAACAATCTGCACCATGGCCAAAGATCCAAGAGTAATTACTGTTATTATGGCCCCACACACACCGAAACGTGCTGGACAGTTTTACATTGATAATGACGGGTTACACGGAGTTATGTGTAATAGTATTTAAGATACTTCTCTATGCTAATTTATAGTTGCATGATTTAGACATCTTTAGAATAAGCTGGTTGCGTTATTTTTAAGTTTTTATAGTAGGCTATACAAACTTAATAAATTGGTCCTCATAACCCGACCGGGTCAAACAAACTTTTTTTTTAAAATGGTAATTATATGGGGCCTTTGCAGTAGAAAGGGCCGATACTGGGATTTACTTATTTCTGCAAGTGATACAAATCACGTGCCAATAAGGAAATGAAAACAAAAAAAATGAAACAAAAACAAAGTGATTTCTTAGGCAAAATTTTGAGTTTCCAGCGATTAGGGTGTCCAGGATTATGATCCGGTAAATGCCAAATTTTGCATCCGGTAAATTGCAAATTATGCGAATTTTGAGTTATTAGCCAATAAAATTTCAAAAAGAATGACAAGTCAGGTGACTACAGTCACAGGAACAAAATTTAACCAATCAATTTTTGTTTACATGCTGCAGAAAGTGAGCGGATTATGCGATTTCATATAGTAAAAATCATATAGGATAACTTTCTCGTGATTGGTCGTCACATGAAATTGAATAACACGTTATTATTGGCCAATTGTGAAAC